TTAAGACTTGAAGCTAAAAGGTGAGGACTTGCAACTCGACTTGGACTTGCCTGTCTTGACTCAGGACTTGACTCGAGACTTGAATGCAAAGACTCGAGACTTACTTGTGACTTGCAAAACAACGACTTGGTCACACCTCTGACAGTTGCACACTCTCTTATCTAAGTGCTTATTAACAGCTTGCTTCAAGTTGGACCACAGCACTTGCCCTGGACTTGCCCTGGCATGGAATTCTGGCTCTTCTTCCATGCGGCTAATTAACAGTAAATCTGCCAGCAATCAGGCCGTTAAACTTAAACTTCTGGCACATGTGCTTTTACTGTTGTAAACAAAGAGAGCTTTTCAAATTCCAGCACATTCCATGCAACAAAAATCATTTTTTCTTTGTAATTTATTACAGATGACGGCCATTAAATAATGAAGTATGAAACTGTTAACAGTCCTTCAGAAAAAGTGTGTGCAGGTCTTTTGAAGGATATTAGAAATTAATAAGCAATATGAATCATGAAGCAAATTTAAAATGCTAAAGATATCCAACAATGAAAGCAAAAAACCAAAATAGCATATTTACTGTAAGTGCTCAGTGCTTTATTTAAAATGATTAATGAGGAAGCATATATGGTAAGCAACATTTAAATGGTTATTTTGCTCAAATTAATTTATGCATTTTTTTTAACTTAAATTATGCATTTTGCATTCACATATTAAGCATATCTCCTCGGTTTGTTATGCATTTCACTTGATACTTTTGCAAAACATAACACATTCAGTTTTATATTTAAATAAAATATTAATACTAATGTAGGAAATGCCAAATACCAATTATGTTTAATTTTCATTTTGCAAAAATTGTTACGCATATCATCATGGGAAGTGTGAATTCAAATAAAGAAACGTTACTGTTTTCTTTTCTCTTTTTTCTCTCTCTTTTTCTGTGGCCAGACTGTTTTCTCAAAGCCTCTTATACATTTGTTTTTCTTTTTTGCGTTCCCTTCCTCTCCAGATGGCACACACGAGTAGGATCTTTCTTAACATCACAGATTCTCTATATGGAGGCCCCACTGCTACCACTGCTAAAACTACCTGTGGGGTCCAAAGAGGCGACACAAGCATATGCAAGTTGTGCATAGTCAAGTAAAACAGTAAGGAGTCGAGATCACGGTATGTGTTTTTGATTGCAGCCTGAGGGGCTGTTTGTTTTGGATGCATTGACTGTGGGATGGGTACACTTTGTTCCCCTGCCCAAATGAAGGCAGTGATTGAGCTCTGTTGACATACAGGTCAATTGAGAGCATGTGGAAATTTCACACTGGTAGGAATAACACTGGTAAGAAGACTGCATTAACATACATTAACAAACCTTTCACTATTTGACTAATTAATTTGTGCAAACAGAATGTGTCAAATGTGCATTGTCTTTGAATGAGAGTCCACACAGCTGATAAAAGCAGTCGATCATTTAACATCTTGTGAAGTGAAAAGCTGCGTGCTTGTACTCGTATTTTTGCCAGAAGCAAAGGTTTAAAGTTAAAACACCTAAACATTGAATTTAGACATCTGTGGATTACTTGTGGATTATTGTGATGTTTTATCAACTGTTTGGTCTCTCATTCTGATGGCACCCATTCACTGCATTGATGAGCAAGTGACATTTCTTTAAGTGTGACAATTAGATTAGGCGAATAACAAAATAAAGACTGAGAAAGAGGATGTATATTTTGTGTTATCTACTGCAGATAAAAAAAAATCCTTCCAGCTGTAAGTTTATGTAATATAATGTAGCGTCAGTACATCAGTTTATCCACTAGGCGGTGGGAATGAGTGAATGAGAAAAACTGGCATTTTTTTCACCCAACATAGACAGAATTTGAATTTTATTATTTATTAAGACAAATATTATTTGAATATTTTAAACATTTGCGAGTCCCCTCACTGTGCATTGCTGGGATATTGTATTTAGACTGGTTTTTAAGATAACTGCAACACTCCAGAAGGTAAATATTTACTCTGAGACTGAAACAATGCACAAGCTAATCTAAATGAGTGTAAGGAGGGTTATCTTAAAGTCACCATGTCAAATGCCTGCTGGAAAGTTTAACATTCCATTGTAAAGAGCCACTGGATGTCCGCGCATGCTAAACTTTCAGCCCACTTGTATGCAAAGTCAGGTGACATACAGTATATAATTTAGAGAATACGAAGATCCACTTCATTCAAATTCCAGCTCATGTACCAGGAAACATTTCAGCTCATGCAAACTGAAGAAAAATTTACCCTACTGTTTTTTTTTTAACCTATGCATATTGTGTGCAAAAACAAAAAAAAAGTTGTGTGTTTCAGATAACTTATATGTAATGTATAGCTTGGTCAGAAGACAAATTAACTTGGGAATCTGACATAAAACAGTAAAGCTTAGCATTTTGGCCACATTCCAGTTCAGAACAGGTGTCAGAGTGAGGTGATGACAGAGGATCTGTCAAATATCAGTGTTTTTATTCAAACTTCTAAAGCAAGTCCTGTTTGATGGTATAGAGCAGAGGGTACACAATGCACAGGACCCATTCCAGAGTTCAGGGGCTGGGTGGAGCCTATTGTCTTTACATACAGGAAAACAAACCCACTAAAATCTATTTTCTTGATTAACTAAAGGGCAATGTCTTGAATTTGGTCATTAAATCTTCATCACACTGTTAACAAAAACTCTTAACACTGTTATTAAAAAGAAAATGGTTACTTTAGTCAAAGTCAAAGTCTGCTTTATTGTCAATTCTGCCACATGTACAGCACATACAGAGAATTGAAATTGCTTTACTCTCAGACCCTTGGGGCATACAGATAACACTAAACACTAACGGTAGAATGTTAAAATATAAATAAATGCATATTCAAATATAATAGAAAATACAACTATACAAATATACAAGTAAGGACATGCAAAAAAATTGATAGATAAAGATGAAGAAGCACAAGGCACATGGCAGATAGAGAGCAAACCAGTGATATAAACAAACAGTGCAGATATAATGGGTATAGTGCAAAAAGAGCTTATAGGTCTGTTTAAAGTGACAGAGAGCTCAGAGAGCAGTCTTTATTTAAACTGTATGTCTTTATAACAATATGTCATATTATTGCTGTTTGTACTGTATTTTTTTTTATCAAATAATGCAGCCTTGGTGAGCATAAGAGGCTTCTTTCAAAAACATTAAAGTATCTTACCAACTCCAAACATCTGAGTGGTACTAGTATATGCACAGCACATTTGTTCACACACAGACAGAGTAAGGCCACTTGCACAAGATTCCAACAAGGATAGAAGTTCATTTTAATTCAGTCCATTTTAGGCCTCAAAGTGGTCATCTGCTCTAGCTCAGTGTTTGAGGTTACATGCAGAGATGTTTTGGGCATTCACAGAGCACAAAGAACCACAAATGCCACGTGTCCACCACTATTGCAGCTGCGATGGCACTCAGCCCATGGACTGTGTCAGTGACTGTAGCTGCTAATGCCTCACTGTGTCTTTTAGGAGAGAAGTGAGTGAGTAACCGGCACGCACTGTCACTGTGGGAACAGTCTAAGAGAGCGAATGTGCTGCTGTTGGGTTCCTCAAAGCTAAAAGGAATAGTTCACCCAAAACCGAAAATTTGCTGAAAATGTTCTCACCCTCAGGCCATCCAAGATGTAGATGAGTTTGTTTCTTCATCAGAACAGATTTGGAGCATTACATCAGACACAGAGGATCCATTGGTGGGCAAATGTCACTCTGCAGTGAATGGGTGCCATCAGAATGAGAGTCCAAACAGCTGATAAAAAACATCACAATAATCCACAAGTAATCCACACAACTCCAGTCCATCAGTTATCATCTTGTGAAGTGAAAAGCTGTGTGTTTGTGTGTTTGCTTTCTCCAGTGAAAAAAGTTGTTTAGTCTTAATCAGGAGAGAAATATGCACAGATCAAGCACCATTTACAAGCGAAATCAGTCCAAAACAATTCTAAACAAATTTGTTGCTGGATGTTGATGTGAGAAGAACAACAGGGGATGGACCTGGATTTTTTTCACTAGAGGAAGCGTTGTTATGGATTATGGACTTTTTGTCTAGAAGCAAAGGCTTAAAATGAAAATGCCTTAATGATGGATTTGTTTATTACTAACATGAAGCTTTTCACTTCACAAGACGTTAATTGATGGACTGGATTCATGTGGATTACTTGTGGATTATTATTAGATGTTTGGACTCTCTCATTCTGACGGCACCCATTCACTGCAGAGGATCCACTGGTGAGCAATTGATGTAATGCTAAATTTCGCCAAATCTGTTCCAATGAAAAAAACAAACAAACTCATCTACATTATGGATGGCCTGAGTACATTTTTAGCAAATTTTCATTTTTGGGTGAACTATTCCTTGAAGCTCTGGACGATGGCACTGTTGAGTGAACCTTCGTTTCAGAAGGCAAAAATGTCTCTACATCAATCTATCACCATCTCACAAGACATTCTATTTTTTGGCCCCTTCTTGCCCTTTTTGCTTAGTGAGGCCCAGCACCACAGCAAACACTGGCTTGCTTAACATACAGGGCAGTGCAACTGAAAGAACACTGTCAACCCACACCCTTAATAGAGGCTGTTCTTCAGCTCTAGGCCTGTACCTTTCAGATGTATCTGCTTCGTTTGATGCTTTTCTTTAGCCAATCCTCTCTGTGTCTGTAATTACAGCAATTATTATTCTCCCTTGTGACTTTGTGAGTCAAATCACTATTGTGACTGCATAATGGGACGTTATGTGCCTCGCTTGGATAATTGCTAACAAGAAAACAAGCAGGTCACTACCGTCTTGGATGAAAATATCCATTTCATGGTTTAATACCGGACACGCTTTATCCAAATGCTCGCTGTTATCTAATATGTGGGAGCATCCCAGGGCCACATTGTCAGAAGAAAGTGTCTCATAACACCACACGGCTGCCACTGTATAATGTGTGTCAGACCGCTGTGGTGTGCTGGATTGTGTATGATGGCTTGAAATGCAATATGCATAATATTGTGTTTTAATCACACAATATGTGGTCACACCTAAAAGTCTGCAGCATTACGACACTGATGGTCATAATAGATTCGGAAAAGCCAGAAGTTTAGGTTTACTGAGTCAAACTTTGGTCTTTGTGGAGAGCCAGTCCCACCCTCCTATACTATAAATGTCAAGGACATGTGAAAGAAACATTATTCTAAACTCTCTGATATAGCTAAAAGTAGCTATCAAGGCCCTAGATAAGATTTCCTCTTATATTTTTGTATGACATAAGATATATACTGTTACCAGGAGATATTGATTTAAAAAAACCCCACAAATTTCAATCTAATCTGGGTTATGAGAATTACGTGCTTATTTCTTGAAGGTATAGTTCACTCTCATGTTGTTCTAAACTCATATGATGAATTATATATAATGTAAGTGAATGAGTACTGGGGATGTGAAGCTTCAAAATTATATATTGTGGCAGCATACATTTAAAGATGTAACAGAATTCACATACAGTGTTTATGTTTCCCCTTTAAGAATGTTTCATGACATGTGGTGGGGTGTTTCCCCTTTAAGAGTTTTCACGTTTGAGGAGTTGAGTAAAAGCTATAGCAGGTTCACAGCTTTTCACGCAATTCTGATGTCGTCTGTGTTCATTTAATCACATGAACACCTACAATATTAATATTCCAAGTTTTCTGAAGCCATTTTTTTGTGAAGAACAAACTGAAATTTAAGTCACTGTTCACAAAAAAAATCTTGACATCCACCCTAGATACTATATCCTTGATCTGTTCATGAGGGAAGAAGCAGTATCCAATTCATGAATTAATTATTCGTTTGAATCAGACCTTTTCAATGAATCAGTTGAGTAAGTTTGCAAAAACTTTTTCCAATTCTCAATGGTCTCAATGATCCACTGGATTCATTTACTGGATTCATTTTGGTCTGTTTGTCACACTAAGCTAACAAATGGCTTTAGAAGACTTAACAATATAACACAAGAGCCATGGACTACTTTTAGAATATTTGTATGGTTCTTTTTTATTTTTTGTAATTTTTACAAAATTGCATGCATACAGGTTTGGAATGACATGATGACAGAAGTTTTATTTCTGGATAAACTATTCCTTTAAAGCCGAAGTGTGTTTTTTTCTGCACAGCTAATCATATAGCAGCGGTTTCCTACAAGTTTTCTTAAAACTGTTTGCCATTGTCCAGCCAAACAGGCATTTCTACCCCGACTCATGCCATTGATTGAGCCAGAAGTTGACATGTTGGACCGCTCAAACAAATAGAGCAACACTGAAATAGTCAGTGTTTGCACTTTTTGGAAAAATCAGCCTACAGCACAACTGACTTACTTAAAGTAGTCTCTGCATGTTAAACTAGGCTAGGAGAAGGTTTTTTAACTCTGAAAACATTAGACTCATCACCGAAGTTACCACTGTTTACCTGTGTTCCCAATTCAGTATTTTTGTGTGCTTTATATTAAACCACAGACCACATATTGGCCACACATTCTTAAAAATATAAAAATGTTGCATTTTAAGTGTTGGGTGGGTGAATGAGCTATGAATGTAGCCTTTTACTGGATGGGGGAATTAATTATACTGCCTGGGCACTTGAACAAGAAACAGATAAAATCTAGTCTTTCTTCTTCTATTTGCAGACTGTGATTGGATATACCGTATTTGACTGGTTTACTGTTTACAAAGGAGTGCTCAGTGTTGTTGTGACCCAGTCCAGTGGGTTGGAGTGGGCTGGAATAAAAAAAAAGAATGAATAACACACTTGTTTGTCTGGACGGCTGTCCTCGCTGTGTGCCATGCATTTCTTCAAAAGCTTTTACCAGCCTTCCCACTTTCCCTTTCTGAGGAACTCCGAGTGTATCTCGTCTCTGATTCAGCCGTTCAGCACCAACGACAGTCGTCTGGGACTCAGCCATGCCAGCAGCAAGAGGACGTACAGATCTACAGGTACGCTGAGACGTCTAGAAGCCGTTGGTATTTCTTTGGGGGCTGCGACATAGCATTCCTTATTTTCTTTCCCTAGCTCTCTGTCCCGCTCCGTCCTCACATCGGGGTGCAGAATGTTCTGTGTATTTAGAGGAAGGCGATCATGTAGTTCTCTCTCTTCTGAAGCTGAGCATCACTCAAAGAATCCATCAAATATCAATTAGTGATGGACTGCAAAGGCTGACTGAACCTTTAATGTACCTGATGATCAACACAACATGCACTTACCAGACTATTACTGGGGTCAGGAGGATTGTCGCAAACCTCTGACAGCCATGGCTTCTCAGGGAGAGAATTACAACAAAGCTGGGAATTGTAAAAATGAGTCTCTTGAAGCACAATTCAAAAAAAAAAATTATATTCCTGGCATCATGATATTTTTAGATGGCTCATAATCTAAGATGACTGAAACAAGCCATTCTGGATCTTTTCTTTTGGGATTTTTAAGAGGTTTTAGACCAATATAATTTTAATTTAGGAATAAAATACAGTTTAAAGTTCACAGTTCACCCAAAAATGAAAAATCTGTCATCTGCCGTTTACTCACCCATAAATCGTTCTAAACCTGTATGACTTTATTTCTTCTGTGGAACACAAAAGAAGATATTTTTTAAAAAACTTTAAAAAAAACTGTAGTGTTTCTGTTCATACAATGAATGTCATCGGGTTCATATTCTTCAAAAAAACTTAAAATACACTACCGTTCAAGAGTTTGGGGTCAGAAAGATTTTTTCAATGTTTTTTTGAAAAAAAGTCTCTCACAGTATGCTCACCAAGGCTGCATTTATTGATGAAAAATAGTTAAAACTGTAATTTGCGAAATATTAATACAATTTCAAACAACTGTTTTCTATTTTGATATAGTTTATGTAATTTAATGTAATTTTTTCTTGTTATGGCAAAGCTGAATTTTCAGCAGCCATTACTGCAGTCTTCTGTGTCATATGATCCATCAGAAATCATTCAAATATGCCGGTGCTTAAAAACATTATTATTATTAATATTATACGGTTGTGCTGCTTAATAATTTTGTGGAAACCATGATTTTTTCAGAATTCTTTGATGAATAGAAAGTTCAAAAAGAACAGCAACTATTTAATAATAGAAATAGACATCTTTTGTAACATTATAAATGTCTTTACTGTCACTTTTGATCAATTTAATGTGTCCTTGCTTAATAAAAGTATTAAATTCTTACTGAAGGAAAAATAATCTTAGTGTATATTCTTTTGAGTTCTGCAGTGAACTTTCCCTGTAAGGTTTTATTCAATGACTTTTTCAGACTTGCTTCTATTATTAGTGGTATATATTAAATTCCACTTCCTATAGGGACAGATTCCTGCGGGATTTGTTTGTCACAGGACTATCCTTGCTCTTCACATGCCTCGCATCCATCTTGCTAAGTATGTGCCAGTAAATGTCCAAATGTCATATCTGCCGACTTGTTAATTTTATAATGACATTATATCATTAACGTCAATAACCCAAGGCCAGAGCAGCAAAGACAGAAATTAGTTATGAAACTGAGGTCTCAGCCCGGTCACTTGCAGCAGAAAGACACACTATCATGTGTCCGAGAAGCGCGGCTCGCCGGGTCTCCAAACCAATCCACAGTCCTGACAGTGAGTCTAGGATCCCATTTCCTTAGGATTACACAGTGCTCACAGGCAGGGCAGTTGGAGTACTATGATATTACAAAGCACATTGATCCCTGTGAAAATGATTGCCAGATAATGCGCTGATTAAAACAGGGGCCATGGGGGTTCAACAGATGTCAAATGGTTTAAGGGGGTCATCTGACCTCGGATATGAGCATTACTGGTATGAGATAAAAGATATTACTCAGTTTTACCTTAGGGGTGAAAAAAAATCATGTAACTTACGTAAAGGTTATGTATTCGCCTAGATTTAGGCCTAGCTTTAGGCTGTTTTTCTTTGTCAGTGCAATTTATATCTAATCCTTTACTGAGATTCTCTCCAGTCTTTTCTTGTATTCTCCGCTGAAACATTTGGAGTGTCTTTGTGAAGTACAGCATGATGACTGGCATTTCTTGGTATTGGCTACTATACTCGTCTTTGACCTGATGGCACCTTGGTGCCACTTCATCCTGGCTCTATAGTGGGCAGTAGCACCTGATCTGGCATCTCTCACACTAGTGTCACACTTTTGAAGGCAACACAGCCACGTGTTGAATGCATTTCCTTCAACTTTATGTCATTTTCTTTTGCTTTTTAGCTTTCTTCGTGACTGGGAGTGTCTCAGAAGGGTGCGTGTGGAATTCATATTAAATTTCTGTGGAAATCCAAGCAATGTATAGATTTGTCTGGCCTGCAGGCCTGGATCATGTCCCATGTCTGCTTTTGCAGAAACAATATCAACTAATACTCTAATGCACCCAGGAATGCTGGGAGATATAAGTGTTTCCAGATGTGGGATGAAACACAGATTTACACAATTATGCTGTCATCTATGAAGGGGTCCTGTCAAAATGTAAGTGCACTCACATGACGTAAATGTGACTTTTTCTTAATTTTGCAGCAGTTTTGGTGATTTTGAAGCTTAAAATGAGGGCAAATAAGAGTGATGCAGTCATGAGGTTTACACTGAAGGCCAAACATGTGTTATGTAAGTGCATTAAACAAGGTTATTGGTAATTAGGTTTGTTTGCTATAATAATAACACAGTGTTTAATGTTTAACTCTCCTCCTCTGGTTACAGTCGTCTGTCGGCTGGATGTTTGGTCACTGTGGTGACAGTTGAATGCAGATGTCTATATAGTTTCTGTGTAGATGAACACAAAATCCCCATTGTTTTTTCTGAAGACATCTAGTAGGAGAAATCATGGGTTTTCCCCTTTCAATTTCAAGGATTCCAAAAAAGGCTCATTGAATAATATCTTTAAATAATACTTTACTGTATTTTATGGCAAGCAATGGATCTTGTATTAAAATAAGAAATATTTTGTGAATTATCTGATTTACAGTCATAGAATGGACTGGAAAAGCCGCCCATGCAAGGGTTCATTTGTCATTTGTGTCTGGACATTGTGGAACCCATCCTTACTAGGACACTAACTCACAAAAAGTTTTTTGTGGTTGTTGCTGTATAATAATAATAATAATAATAATAAGGGTTTTAATACTTCACTAGTGTTTTTAACATTATATCAGATAATAATTTTTTTTACTGTAAATTTAAGTTAAATCCATAAAAACCTAAAAATGTTGCTACCATATTTTTTACGGTATGTCTTTTTTTTCAGTAGCTTAATGATCAGAGGCAAATTTTTCTTTATGTTTTAAAAATAGAGTAGCCATGCTATCGAGCCACTTATTTTCTTCTGTGCACGGATAAATATATTATTTAAATTTGCTTTAGTGTCTAGAAGCAGGCATGCTTTTTAAAATTAATGAGAGGGAAGGATGAAAATGGTCAAATATTTACACATTAATTGGTTTGAGTTAGTGTAGTTGCCTTTTTGTGTGATCGACATTACTGTTATGCTTAAACAAAGCATGCATGTTTATCCTTTTTAAAAATTAAAAGATAGAAGGATGAAATAAGTACACTTTAGAGTAAATGTCGTCATATATCTCTATAATTTGTATGGCAACCACTGGAATCCAACCAGACCCTCACTGACTGACATGCTTAACCAAGTCAGAAGTTTTCTCATTTTTCATCTTTAAAACACGTATATATGTTGGCACTGTGACCCAACAGGTCACAATGTGCTTTGGATTCAAGGCTAATGGGGTCTTCAGGGGTCAGAGCTATCAGAATGAGATATGTGCATATCCCCTCACCTGTGGGATGGGGGAATGGGGCCTCTTTCACAGGGGCCTCTCGGGGAGAGATCTCACAGAGGACACGCAACATGTTGCACCGGCCCGTGAACACATCCGTGAGCACCCCGCAGACACGATAAGCTCTTTAATAGAATGGTTAAAAAGTAACAACTGAAAGAAAATTGAAACTGGCAGGGTTCAGTTGTTGCCATCTCTCTAGAGAATGTTTGTTTAAAGTTATCGACTGACACTACAGCCGTATATGAAGGAATAATGTCTAACCGGAGGTTGCGATAGTGTCACGTCTGTGATGAAACACCTTAATTTTTTTGATTTAGTGTCCCAGTGACAACATGATTATTGCTTTGAGGGTTTGACCGTTTGACGTGATACACAATTCAGCAGATCTATGCGTTATGAGCCCTCTTATGCATTAATATTTAAATTTTTTTCAGAGTTAAAAGTGTATAAATATAATATAATATAATATAATATATAATATAATATAATATAATATGAAATATATTATAATTTTAATATAACATATCATAACTACTTTTATTGAGCAAGGACACATTAAATTGATCAAACACGACTTTCACACCTATACATTGTTACAAAAAGGTTATTTAAAATAAAATAAAATAAAAATAAATGCTGTTCTTTTGAACTTTCAGTTTTAAAATAAAAAATAAAATAAAATAAAATAAAATAAAAATAAATAAATAAAAATAAATAAATAAATAAATAAAAAATAAAAAAATAAAAAAATTTAATTTAATTTAATTTAATTTAATTTAATTTAATTTAATTTAATTTAATTTAATTTAATTTAATACAATTTAATACAATTTAATTATGAACACCTGTCTGAAGTTTTCAAATGCCACTTGTGATGCAATTCAGACATTTGTAAATGTAGCTTAAGTGTCCAGATAGTTTTGAGGCCACTAGATCTCATGACAATGGATCAGTCGATCAACAGTCACACAATGTTGCAGTTGTTTTCATACAGCAGCCGTGTGTAGCTGTTGTCTTTCAGGCTTCACTGGTGTAGGACACACACGTGGCACTGCTGGCTGAGAGTTTGAACATGGCTTGTCACTGACAGCATGATTGATCGTTCATGGGTCAGCTTTCAGTTTAAGTTACTTTATCCAGTCACATCTGTC